AGTTAGGTTTGTAAACATTTATAAATTTTGACATAAAATAAAATAGTCTACAATCAGTTTTAATTTATATAGTCTATTTAGTTTTCTTGGTTAGGTTTGTTAACATTTAGGTTTGTTAAAATTTTGACATAAAATAAAATAAAATAGTCTACAATCAATTTTAATTTATATAGTCTATTTAGGTTTCTTGGTTAGGTTAGGTTTGTAAACATTACTTAAATTTTGACATAAAACAAAATAAAATAAAATAATCTACAATCAGTTTTAGTTTATATAGTCTATTTAGTTTTCTTGGTTAGGTTTATAAACATTACTTAAATTTTGACATAAAATAAAATAAAATAGTCTACAATCAGTTTTAATTTATATAGTCTATCAGTTTTCTTGGTTAGGTTAGGTTTATAAACATTACTTAAATTTTGACATAAAATAAAATAAAATAAAATAGTCTACAATCAGTTTTAATTTATATAGTCTATTTAGGTTTCTTGGTTAGGTTTGTAAACATTTATAAATTTTAACATAAAACAAAATAAAATAAAATAGTCTACAATCAGTTTTAGTTTATATAGTCCATCAGTTTTCTTGGTTATAAAATACAAGCGGTTTTACTTTATGTCACATATGTTCAGTTCGTTGAAAAGAAAAAGTTACGCGACCAACGATATATACGTTGAAGACGTAACCAGCATGCAACGCGTTGAAACATACATCTTTATACATCTGTTAGAAGAAAAAGAAATGCAATTACTTTTTGGCCAATGCTATCCGAGTGGCGAGTTCAGTCGTTTCGAAGTGTTACACTTCGAAATCGTGTCCTCGATACTCATTCTAAAGGTACTCTCGATAGGATGCATGCGGGTAGCGAAGAAATCTTCCGCAGAAAGTTAGCTCCGCCTTAACGTTCGACGACGCGACGGCTCGTCTGCGTGAAAGCTTGCGGATGACAGGAACCGACAACCTTCCCCGGTTCTCGCAGCAAATACACGAGCTAACATCCAGTGTATTACAATGCACCGGGTGACTTTTTTTTTTCTTCTCTCGTCCTTCGACAAAGAAACGAAAGAAGAGAAGCAGTAAACTTCACGGGGCGAACCGAGAGTGAGAGAGAAGGATGCTCGCACCCACATGAAATTCTATATTCGTGCTTGCTGAACGCGAGAATCCGGGAAGTTAACCGCGAGCAGCGGTGTCACGAGCAGCCTGACGTTCACAGGTTTTCCAAACACTTCCAGCCCGACCCCGGGACAATCCAAACACTCGATTGCGCGGGGATATCAATTAGTCGGGGGAGGGCCGCGCTCCCTCCCTTCTTCAGACGCGAATGAAAAAGATATACATATGAAATCGATCGGGCAGGCCTGGATTTTGTTTCGCGCCACGCGGAAACATCTGTGAATCGTGGGATGACGCTCGAATCTCAGCGAGGGAGGGGGAAATTCGTGAGAACTGTATGCTTGTGACATAGCAGTCGGTTCGACGGAAACGTGTCGATATAAATACATAAATATAAAAAGGCGGTAGCGAAAGCGTTAATATAAGAAAAACTTTATATAGGTTTTACATATAAAAAAAAGAAAAAAGTATCTTTGACATGCATCTCATACGCGAGATGTTCGACAAACACGGTGTTAGCACAAACAAGGTATGTATATGTAGATCATATACCTCGTTTGTGCTAATAGGAAAACGACGTGCTTCAATCAATTGAACAGTAAGTAATTGAAATATCGTGGCGACACGACGATGTTCACCACCTTGCGAACAAAGCAAAGCTGTAACTTGCTTGTCTCGTCGACGAATGCATAACTGAATGCGAAGTACTAAGGGAGCATGATACTCGCAGCGGTGCAGCACGAAAGAGCTCCACGGAATACGTCGTCCCTGGTCGCGGCAACGAGAAGAGGCCCCTCGGGACTGTACCCTGCGATCCCGCACGTTTACCACGCGGCGAGCAACCCTTACCATCCTCTTCTGTACCCTGCGCTGTTCCCCTTCAAGCCGGCAATGTCGGTTTTCACGCCATCGGTCGGTAAGTGAAATCTCTTTTTTACTTGTGCATCACCGTTCTTTCAAATTCGTCCATCGACCACAGACGAGGTATGCACGTGATTGGACATTTAATTTTGTAAAAATCGTAACTACTTTGATGTTTTGCTCTGTGCTATATATATATATATATATATATCAGTATAATCTATATATAATATAATCACTAGTCACAGTATATATCTATATATATTATATAATATACTCACTATATATATAATATAAAACTGATATATATATATATATATATATATATATATATATATAT